AGTGTTTCATACGGTCGTTCCAGTACATACATTGTGTTTTATAAAATTAATCACCATTGATCCATGCCCACCATTATCCCGCCTTTTCAGGTCCCCGCCGAATCTTTCCTAATTTCTCTGCCTACTAAGCTCTGCGATCTCATAATTGGTTGTTTTTTTTTTTAAATTGTATATACTGTTGAGTTTGTAACAACTTTTTGACTCAGGTAGAAATTGCTCTAATCACAAACTCACCTGCTTCTCTTTCTTTTTTTTCTTCACTCAATGTGCCAAATAAAAAGACTACAGAATTTTTCAATATATTCTTAATATCATTTGTTGGGACGGGATCCCAAAATACAGTGGTTTATGTATTCGCTTTAGAATTTCCTTTAGTTGGTTTGCGGATGGTTGGGCATCTAGGTTTCTGTTTCTGTGTTTTTCTGTATTTGGGGAGAGTTAACCCAAAATCCAAACCTGCTGCCTTGGAGACGCCTAATAATTTTGGATGTTAAGGGATGGCCATTATTTATAACCTATTTTGGAAGAAGCAAACTGTCTTGGCCTAGAGGTTATCACTGACCGCTCCATCAACTTCCTGAGCGAAGGTAAAGACTTTTCCGAGAATCCCTAAAGGCACGGCCCCAGAGGCTTGTGGGAGATGTAGTCCCGAACTCGACAGTCTACCAATTGGAGGACCCAGGCAACGGCCCTCGGCATCTGCGTCTGCGCATGTGCAGTGCGGTCGCCCGCCGCAGCCGCCCTTCCCCCACCTCAGCAGCGAGTGGGCGACAGGACCCCTGTCCGCTCTGGGCTTTGCCGGCCCTCGCGGTGACCCGACGTGGCCCTGAGCCGGGAGTGGAGGCTGCGCACCCCCAGGTAGGAGGGGAACTGCGTGGCAGCTCTGCGGGGCTGGGGGCCAAGGGGCTGGGGCGCGCGATGGGCTCGTGGCCGCGCGGGGTCGGAGCCCAAACTTCAGCCACTCGCGGGCCCGCTGACCCTCAGGGCGGCGTCCAGGGCTGGCTCGGCGCGCTCTCGGGACCGGGCCGCCGGGCGGCGGGGGCGGGGACGGCGGGAGGGTCGGCGGCTGCGAGGCTCGCCTGCTTCCCTTTGTCACGAGGAGCGGCTCCGGCGCGGCGAGGATCTCCGGGCGCGCGGGTTCGAGTCCTGGTGGGGCGGACACCTGTCAGCGCCCCGGGGCGCGCCGCCTCCCGGCCTGGGGGGGATGGGGGCTAGAGAGCCGGGAGCCCCGGTGCCGGCGCGGGCCAGTCCTCGGCTGAGCCCGGGACACTCGGGTTCTTCAGCAGGAAGGTGGAGTGACTCAGCCAGGGTCACACAGTACTTGGTGCCCCACACGTGGGCCTGGCCCCTGCGAGCTCTATCCTGATGTGTAGGAAGCAGGTCCTTGTAGGCACTGCGGTGTACACGTGCTCGGGAACCGGGTTCTGAGCCCTCCGGGGCTGGCACTGCGCACACGTTAGCAGTTCACATCCATCCAGCAGGGCCGTGGAAGCAAGACCTGGCGATCTGATCCCCATAAAGATAAACTCCCAAAAACAGAGCCCTGTATCCACTCCAGTTTACAGTACGCTGCTACTCTCTGGGATGGGGTAGGATTCCTGGGATTCCTCGTCGTTTTTTCCTGCGGCTGTAAATCTTTACTGCCATGGAGTGACTGTGGGGTTCAAACAACCCACTTTTCAGCTCAGCACTTAACCCGTTGCACCACTCATCAGTTGCACCACTCTCCACTCGGACAGATTGCTTCCTGGAAAACCCTAGGGTACAGTTCTGTTAAGGGGAGCTCTGGTGGGCAGGGCCCCCAGAGTGAACACCCTCCTGAAGAGTCTACTGTGAGTTTGGTTTTTAGCCTAGGGTCAAAGACCTTTGTTTTCCCAGCATCACTCCTGATTAGGCTCCTCAGATCGCTAGCATCCCTGGAATCGGGGGTACTTGGCCTTTCCCAGCATCATGTCTCTCTCTCTCCAGGGACAGGTTCCTCCTGAAAATAGGCTTAAATTAAGTGAGAGAAAGTTTCACCATCATTGCCACCAAGTAATCCATGCTGTCTGTATTCTGTATATTCACTAGTTTTTGCTATCACACTTTACAGACACCATTCTTGGTCTATCTTATTCTTTATTCAATTTTCATGTGCATTGGAGGCAGTTGGAAATACGGCTTGGGTTAGGCAAACCTTGGTCTTCAAAGCAACATCCCTGCACTTTACCACTTTAAAGAGGTCCCCTTCAGATTTCTTTCACATTGCTTTAATTCTCATTTTGTTCCTCAAGTGTAATGTTGTACTTTTCAATCCTACACGCTTCACTTTGTTTTTATAACCTTAAAATTCATTAATAATTTTATGTCTTGCTTTACTTAACCTGTTTACCACTTTCTTGGGAAAAGTTCTTGTCCAACTTCTTTTGACTCTCCCATATTCTCAAGTCCACAGGTAAATGCTGCCACAGTGTGGCCCCTTTCTGAAGAGACAGAGGAGCAATCCCATGAGGTGGTATTTTCCTGGGTAGCGTGTAGAGATTTCTAAACAGCTAGTTCTAGGCAGAGGAGCCCTGGTGGTGCAGTGGTGAAATGGTCAGCTGCTAACTGAAGGGGCAGTGATTCAAGCCCACCAGCCCATCCCTGGGAGGAAGATGTGGCAGGCAGCTTCTGTAAAGATTACAGCTTTGGGGGAGCTCTGGTGGCCTAGTGGCAAGAAGCTGCACTGCAATTCCCGAGGAACACGGTTCTAATCCACCAGGTGCTCTGCCGGAGAAGGAGGCGCAATATCCTCCTGTACCAGTCAGAGCTGATTTGATGGTACACGCACACAAAATAATAAAAAAAAGAGAAAAAAAAAGTACGGCTTTGGAGACCTGTGGGCAGCTCTGCTGTCCTTTAGGGTCACTGTGAGTTGGAGTCAACTTGATGGCAAAGGATTGGGTTTGTCATCGTTAAGTCCAGGTATTCTGATATGCAGGACTTTAATAACAGTGACCATTTTTTTCTCTTTCAGCTCTCCCATCATAAGTCTCTACTTTTGCATAAAAGCTTGCAGGAGATGAATAAATATCAGGTAAGTTTGTTTATTCCCCCCTTTAGTTTCGTTGTGTGCTTGAGGAAGTTTCTAAGAATCCAAATAATAAAATATAGAAGCATCGATGAGAACACATCAAGGAAAATATAGTATAGTAGAAGACAACAGAAGCCAGTCCCATGTGAATTATGTCCATATGAGGGGTGTGCGGTGCTGGTGGTGTCCATCCACAGGGGCTTGCGCTGCCAGCCTGCCAGCCCGGTCCCTGGTGGCTCAAGTCCATCATGACTCTGTGCAAATCCATCTCTGTGTGGTTTGCAGCTCAGAAACCCCCTGGAGGGTCAACTCGGAGTCCATTCCGACTCGATGGCAGTGATTGGACTTGAGTTTATGAGGATTGTTGTTGTTATGTGCCGTCAAGTCGTTTGCGACTCATAGCGACCCTGTGTACAACAGCCCTAAACCCTGCTCTGTCCTGTGCCAATCTCACTGCCTTTGAAACACCCATCCTGATTACCACAGTCACTGAATCAGTCCACCTCATAGAGGGTCTTCCCCTTCTGCGCCGTCCCTCCACCCTCCCAAGTATGATGTCCCTCTCCAAGGAACTGTCCCTCCTTACAGCATGTCCAAAGTATGTCAGACAAAGCCTCAGAATCCTTGCCTCCAAGGAGCAGCCTGGTTTAACCCTCTCCAGGATGAATCTGTTTGTTTTCTTGGCAGTCCAGGGTACATTCAATACTCTTCTCCAGTACCACAGCTCAAAGGCATCAACTCTCCTTCTATCCTCCTTAGTCATTGTCCAACACTCCAATGCATAACAAGTGATTGCAAAGACCATAGCCTGTATCAGACGCACCTTAGTCTCCAGAGTGACACCATTGCTCTTCAGTACCCTGGAGAGGTCCCCAACAGCAGACTTTCCCATTGCAGTACGTTTTTTGATTTCCTGGCTACTTGTGCCAAGAGTGTTGACCGTGGAGCCAAGCTGACTAAAGTTGTTAACAATCTCAGTCTCTTCACCATCCATCCTGATGCTGCCAGTTGTTCCAGTGGTATTCTCAGATGTTAGATCTGAATAAATTTTATGACTCTTCACGATGCAAGAATGTAGCTCTTTTCTCTTCCTCCTTTTCAGCTTAGCCTTTCCATCCTTTCTCCTTTCTGGACACTGGTCTGGATGTTTCTTACTGATCTGTGTTCCACCTCACTGATCATCTTTTCAGCTGTTTGATAATTAACCCAACCACATTTTGTAAATACTTTTTCTTCCATGTTTACAGCTTGAGTTTGGTGGGGAGATTTTGAATTGTGCCCAGTATTTTGGTTTAAATTGGAAGTTCTTCTTCCTTTAAACATTCAGCTATTTGGGGAGCTCTGGTGGCCTAGTGGCAAGAAGCGGTGCTGCAGTCCTGAAGGCGTGCAGTTCAAATCCACCAGATGCTGCACTTGAGAAGGAGGGGCAATCTTCTCTTGTGCCAATTGGATCTGCTTTGATCATACCCACACACACAAAACCCCTACGTATTCCACTATTTAATTAGCTGTTAATACTCCTGTAGGTTTGCTCTGAGTTGGATTTTGCCTGTTTTTGATCCGATAAAAGTCATGCCTCAGTTGCCATCATTCCTTTTGGGATAATAATTTAAATTGCTGGGAACGTCTTCCGTGTACCAGCAGTGTCTTATTACAAATGCACGCTTATGCGCTTGTTGCTTTCAACACCATCTGAGAGCAGAGTGTTTGATTAATCTCAGATCCCAGCGGATCTGACAGCACCGGTGATAAGAGACAATCTGAGGAAAGATTTTGACCGCTTCTGCAAATGAGTTTTGGAGAAATGAGACAACATGATAAACATGATGTACAGTGTTTTATGTAAATTTTTGTGGCAAAATAGCTTTTACAGCTTTGTAACAATAAGTTTCTTCGCGCCACCAAATGCAGGTCATTTCCTAGTGAATAGCAATCTGTCGTTTCAGGGGTCGGTGTCCTTCACGGATGTGACTGTGGACTTCACTCAGGAAGAATGGGAACAGCTGGACCCCTCTCAGCGGATCCTGTATATGGATGTGATGCTGGAGAACTACAGCAACCTGCTTTCAGTGGGTGAGGATGCCTTTCCGGAAGAGCCTGGCGTTTGCTTCAGAGCACGTGTCTTTTCTCAATGATCAAACTGACCAAGTATTATAGGATTTTTAATAACTAAAGAGCCCCAGGGAGCCCTGGTGATGTAGTCCATAGAAAGTTTCACTGCTAGCCTAGATTAACTCGGTTCAGATCCATCAGTGGCTCCTCAAGAGAAGAATGAGTTATCTCCTCACGGGCAGTTTATAGCTGAACACCTGCTGAAGGGTCAGCTATGAGTCAGTTCTGACTGGACAATAGTGAGTTCAATTGTTGTTTGGTTTAAAGAGCCCTAGGGGTGCAGCGATCTAACTCTCAGCTACTCACCCAAAGGTCAGTGGTTTGAATCCACCAGCCACTCCGTGAAAGCAAGCTATTACAGTCTGCTTCCATAAAGGCTACTGCCTGGGTGCCACTTCTGCCCTGTCCTGCAGGGTCAGCGCAGCCAAAGTGAATTTAGTTCTCAGTTGTGAATTACTGAAGAGCTTTAGCCTTGAGCTTCAGATGAGAAATCTGGCTTCATTTTCAGGGTCTCTGAAGGTCAAGCAGTTAGGCGCCAAGACTAGCAAGTTCTCTGATAGTATCAAAGCAGGTGTGAGTTTCAAGTTGGTACAGTGAGAAGAACTGTGTCTAGAGCGGGGTGGAATCCCCAGTCCAGAACTATTCAGGGAGGAGATGGAGTGTAGAGTGGAGACTCCAAGTTGAGAGAAGCCAGAGGAAGTAACATCCCAAGGATTGTGAAAGGGTTGGTACCTTTGGAATATGTTTCAGGACTCGTTTCTTCAGACACCTAAACCTTTAGGGAGAGCTGAGGGCAGTGACTTCAGATCCTCAGCTCTGTGTTCCTGCCCCAGTTAGCACTCTCCTTGCTTGACTTGTTGAGTCCTGAGCCTGATTCTTCCCTAACACGGCTTACACCTTTGCACTGTGACGCTCTCCCCACCTCTAGTCCCCTCAGCTTATCAGATGGTGACGTTCTTTTAGTGCCTGTCATTGGTGTGGTGCCCTCAGGGCATAGAGCTTTTTCAGGACAAGAGGGATGTCGTCCTGCACACAGATGGCAATAGGCTCACAAGAGTCAGAATCAGCCATCAATACAGAAGCTGAAACTAAAGGCCTAGGCCTCGGCTGGAGAGTTTGATCCTTTACCACCCACCCCTTCAAATAAAACCAAAAATAAAAGCAGAGTTAAAACGGGTTGGGGCAAGAGGTTAACTTATTATAAAAAGAAATAGGATTAAGAGATGAGAAATCTTCCCTGTCCACCAACTCCAGCAGAAAAATGCCGGCCATGTTAGAAACAGCGTGTGGTCCGGTTTTGAAGGTGCCTTGCATTTGACTTAAGTGGTCTTCTCTACAGAACATGAGAGTCTGTGGGTATTGCCATTCTTCCGTCTAAAGGAAGCTATACTGGTGTGAGAGTAAGGTGAGTGAAAAGATGGGGAGAACCTAGAAGCAGCGAGTCTGCTGCCTGGCCGCCGTGACACAGCACCAGGCATTGGTGGCCACACTCGGAGGCGCTGTCCCTTCACACCTCTGTCTCCTCATTTTCTGGGTCTCTGCTCACTGGGAGGTGACACACAAGTCCTCTTATCCCTGCTTCCCAGCTTCCCAGTGTCACCCACACCCCCCGTTAGGGTCATTTGGCCATAGGCATTGCTACTTATGTCCAGCTTTCACTTCTGACTTTGCCTTTGGATTTTTCTCTTCGAAGTTTGAGGGAGTCGAAAGAAAGTGTGCTGGAAGGATTTGTTAATCCTGGGAGACTGGGGAGTCATCTGGATAACAGGGCGCTGGTGGAGACTCCCCTCGCCCTTGGTGTTGAGAAAGGACTGACTGCGTTGGTTTGTGCTCTCTCCTAGAAGTGTGGAAGGCGGATGGCCCGGTGGACAGGGAGCCCGGAATCCCCGACAGGCAGGCCAGGCAGTGTCTAACCCTCAAAAACCAAACCCCCCTGGAGGACAGAGGTAATGTCTTTGAAAAGGCCTTGAACCTGGGCACAGACTTTGTTTCTCTAAGACAAGTCCCCTATAAATACGACTTCTACGAGAAAACACTGCAGTGCAGTGCAGACTTACTGAGCAGTAACGGCAACTGTGCGGCCAAGAAAGCAGAGGAGTGCAGTGGACTTGGGAGAGCGCTCCTGTACCTGAAGCAGGAGATAGCCCGGCCCGGCCTGCACTACCCGGAGTACAGTAAGGGCGGGAAGGCCCTCAGCCCCAAAGAAGCCGTTTTTAAGCATCAGAAAATGAAAAGCCTGGTTCAGCCTTTCATTTGTAATTACTGTGATAAGACCTTCTCCTTTAAATCCCTCCTCGTCCGTCACAAGAGAATCCACACCGGGGAGAAGCCCTAGGACTGCGACGTCTGCAAGAAAACCTTCTCCCACAAGGCGAACCTCATCAAGCACCAGCGCATCCACACCGGGGAGAAGCCCTTCGAGTGCCCCGAGTGCGGCAAAGCGTTCACGCACCAGTCCAACCTCATCGTGCACCAGCGGGCGCACATGGAGAAGAAGCCCTACGGCTGCGGCGACTGCGGCAAGACCTTCGCCCAGAAGTTCGAGCTCACCACCCACCAGAGGATCCACAC